TTTTTCTAATTCTGATTTAGATGGCAACAAATTTATGTCGTGTTTTACCAGCATGCAGTCGAGTTGCTTTGAAAGGGCGTATTCGTATGTCCCTACCAGTAACTTCTTGTTTTCATCAACAAATAGTAAGTTAAATAACATATGATGTAAAAATAATGGGACAAATATCGAACTCTATTTATCTTTAATAAAAAGGATCTGAAATAAAAGTGTTTTACTAAAAGATAGTTTTTTCTCCTCTTTCGAATCATGTATAATTTATTTTTGTCACACGTTTATAAACGAAACGACACAATAGAAAAGAGGAGCACCCTTGAAAGAATCCGTACTCCTTGTAAAGTTTAGAAGAACGGTACAAAATGTTGTTTCTTATAACTCTTTGACAAACGCGTTTTGAAACGAATATTTTTTTATCAGTTGATAGGAAATTTTCTCCTCTTTCAAACATTCGTAAATGAAACGAGACAAGAAAAAAAAACGAGAAACATTCGCAAAATAAATTTATAATTTTTATATGAACTCACCAAAAATATCTTGTAAAATGACAGTTAGTTGTAATTAACTGTTGTCTATAAGATATTTTTAATCAATTCATATAAAAAGTATAAATTTATTGCGTGGATATTTCTCTTTTTACGTGTCTCGTTTCACTCACTAATATATATAACGAATATGAATCATACACCTTTCGAAAGAGAAAAAAATTTCTTATCAATCGATGAAAAAAAAAAATGCTTTTCAGAACCTATTTATCGAAGGGACACAAGGATTGCCATTTTCCCATGTAAAAAAATAAACTACAAAAAAATCTGATTTTAATCGATTCTTTTCTGATTAAAAATCGATTTAAATGGCACGATATTAATCTAATTTATCGACATTTTGACTTCATACGAGTAAGTATTAATTGGTGCCCTATATGCAAGTGTATGAAAGATAGGGCTAATACTACACTTACTATTTATCGACGTGAGGAATCAGAAAAAAAGTATCAAAAGTTGGAGTTTCTAAGCTAAAACTGGATAAAAAACACCTTTTTATAGTCATAGTAATTAAAATCAATTGAAAATTAAATAGTCGATTAAAATCGGATTAAAATCAGATTTTTTCTCGTTGTTTTACATGGATTGTGCGGCTCTTTTGTAAAAAGAAAATGTGGATTCTTTTTAAGAGTGCTTGTCTTTTGTGTTGCACCGTTGCGTTTATGAGTGTGCTATAAAAGTAAGTTATATACCATTTGAAAGAGGAAAGAATGCTGTATCTTCTGGTAAAAAAAGGTTTTCTTTTAGCATCCTTTTTATCGAAGCGAAATAGAGTCCGACATTTGTTTCATTACTTTTGCATCATATATTATAATAAAAATTTTAAAATGATAAATGAATAAATAAATATTATATTGAATTAAGATTACAAGAATGAGTCATCATGAAGTTCCTGAGCCAACTGGAGAAACACGTACGGAATCAGATACATTTGGTCCAATTAAAGTTCCAGCTGCATCTTATTATGGAGCACAAACAGCTCGTTCAATGTATCATTTTAATATTGGTATACCAACTGGTAAAATATTACTCAATTCTACATGATTTATTTGATAGATTAATTTATTAATAATTCAATATTTAGATCGAATGCCGTTACCATTAATTGAAGCATTTGGTTTATTAAAAAAAGCATGTGCTACAGTTAATAAACAATTTGGTCTTGATAAAAAAGTGTCTGATGCTATTGCACAAGCATGTGATGAAGTTGTTGCTGGAAAACTTGATGATCATTTTCCATTGAGTGTTTGGCAAACAGGATCAGGTACACAAACAAATATGAATGTTAATGAAGTTATTTCAAATCGTGCTATACAAATTCTTGGTGGTACAATGGGAAGTAAAAAACCAGTTCATCCAAATGATCATGTTAATAAAAGTCAAAGTTCAAATGATACATTTCCAACAGGTAATATTTTTTCTGCTAGATAAAATTATTCTTTGTTTTCTTTTTTTTTTTCTTGTTAATATTTATCTTTATTTAGCTATGCATGTTGCTGCTGCACTTGAATTAAATCGTCGATTATATCCAGCATTAAAACATCTTCATGATGCATTAAAAAAGAAATCGGAAGATTTTTCATCAATTTATAAAATTGGTCGAACACATTTACAAGATGCTGTACCAATGACACTTGGACAAGAATTTTCTGGTTATACACATCAAGTAGCTATGAGTATGGAACGTTTAAAAACTTGTGAACCACGTTTATATGAATTGGCTATTGGTGGTACAGCTGTTGGTACAGGTATAAATACACCAAAAGGATTTGGTAAATTTGTCGCTCAAACATTAAAAGATCTTACAAAATTACCATTTATTGATGCACCAAATAAATTTGAAGCATTAGCAACACATGATACTATGGTTGAATTGAGCGGTACACTTAATACAGTAGCTGTTAGTTTGAGTATGTAATCAGTCGATGAGTTTTATTTTTTCGGAAGAAAGTATTTTATTTTATTTATAGTGAAAATTGCTAATGATATTCGTCTGTTAGGTTCAGGACCTCGTTGTGGTATCGGTAAGTTATATATATATTTTTTTTCTTTCTTTCTTACAATATAATTATATTTTTCTTTTTCTTTTTATTCTTTTAAGGTGAATTAATACTACCAGAAAATGAACCAGGTAGTTCAATTATGCCTGGTAAAGTAAATCCAACTCAATGTGAAGCCATGACAATGGTTGCCGCACAAGTTATGGGTAATCATGTTGCTGTTACTGTTGGTGGTTCAATGGGACATTTTGAATTAAATGTTTTTAAACCATTGATTATTAAAAATGTTCTTCATTCAATACGAATTCTTTCTGATGTTTCTCATTCCTTTACTGATCATTGTGTTGTAGGCATTGAACCTAATACAAATGTATTAGGACGTTATATGCGTGAATCACTCATGTTAGGTAAGTTAAAGAGCCAAATCAAATTAAAGATACTCTCTTCTTTTTTTCACCCTTTCTGGTTTTCGAAGATGGTACAACCGTTCAAGCTGGAATTTTTACAATAGATAGAGTACCAAAAATAAGGAGACATTTGTTCAAGGAAAAAAAAATTTTGAAGTGGTTTTTTATAGATCTTTCTGGAAAATTTTGTTCAATCGGACTGAAATTCTTACTACTGATACTTGGATGTATTTCGCAGAGGCAAAATTGATCGTTTTCGTTTTTGACTTTCCAACCCGAATTTGCAAGATCCTGGTTTTGACACTGAATCTTTACGTATTTCTCTTATAAAAAAAAAGTGCGATTTTTACAAAAGCTTAAAATTACCTCTAAGATAAAGCCTTAGGTATGTCAAAAAAATCTTTAATCCAATCGGATAAAGTTCGATTGGGGTCATAATGTAGCAGGATGTGACTCTACGAAAACCAGGATTTCTCAGAAGAATACCCAAAAAATTCACTTCAAAATTTTTTTCCTCGAACACGTGTCTCCTTATTTCTGATATTCTGTCTATGGTAAAAATTGCTGTTTCATCGGTTATACCGCGCTCGAGAAGTAGAAACAGGGATACTCTTAATTTTGTTCTTTTATAAAAATCTTTATGTTAAATTATTATTATTTAGTTACTGCACTTAATCCTTATATTGGTTATGATAAAGCAGCACAAATTGCTAAGAAAGCTCACAAAGAAGGAACAACATTACGTGAAGCTGCATTAGCACTTGGCCATTTAACAGAAGAACAATTTGAGAAATATGTGAATCCAAAAGATATGGTTTAAAAACAAAACACTGAACAGTATCCTTATTATTTTTTTTTTATTCCTAAATAAAAATATTGTAGGCTATTATAGTTTATTAAAAATTAACATCATATTATTTTTATTTGACTAATAGTAAATGATCCTGTATTTTAACTATATATATATTTATAGTTCAAATTAATGTCAAATAGTTTTATCCATTTAACAATAACAAAAGACACGATATCAACATTTTTGTTTCGACTTAGTGTGTTACATATGTTACTCTTGCTTATTATATTCTAATTAGAATTAATGTTTAAATTTTGTTTGCTATATTTATTAAACATGTAAAACAAAATACGCAATTATATTTTTTTGCCTAACATCATGCTTATTTAGGTGAATATATATATATATACACTAAGAATAATAAGTTTTTTCGGAGTGTAATTTGTCTATGAACAACTAACGCTAATTGAAATTCGTTTATTTTTAATAATTGATAGAATGGTATGATTGTCTAATAAAATTTAATCTTTTATTAGAAAAGTGTCAGATGTAAACAAAAAAAAACAAAATTAAAACCTTATCAAATGATTTGATATAAACAATAATAAGTGTAGTGTTATATGAATTCAGAAAGGTCATCCTATTTATTAGATTAATTGATTCATATGTTATAGAATATTTGAATCTTATCTATGCAGAAAATCATGAATGGCATTTTGATTTGAACACCAGAAATACGATTGATTACAAAATGAGCCCTCGTTTTATCATAGATGTAACGATTATTGTATTATACAATCATTAGTCTACCGTCTAACATCTAACATTGTTATTTCAATCAACAGATCAAAATAATTAATGAAAATTATATACAGAACTGATAATAAAATAACATCTGTCGTATGTGTGTGTAAACTAGCATAATTAATAAAAATAACGAGTTGTTATGAAATAACACATGTTGAAAGGTTGTTTTTCTTTTTATATCAAATATTAAAAGAAAAAAAATACAATATTTTAGATTTTTACTTATTCTACAACATTCTATTCAACAATTATAGATATCAATTGCGTAAAAGGTTTTATCAGTAAGACCTTTTTGAATGATCTATGTAAGCATCGGTGTTGTATATATATATATATATTATTACATTCGCTCTTTCTCGTTCTTTCTATTATCATTTAAAAAAAGATAGAAAAGAAGTAATAACATTACAAACAACGCATAAACATATTCTTAGACTTTGACCTTTGTGATATGTTAACACAAGAACAAATTCAACATGTAAGTTTTATTATTATTAGTATTATTTTTGTTCTCATTTATATTATTTCATATTTAATTCTAGTTTGAAAAGAATGGTTATCTTGTTGTAGAACAATTGATAACACATGATGATTGTGAAAAATTAAAAGAATCTATTAAACAACTTATTGATAAATGGAACCCTGAATGTGATAGTTCATGTATATTTTCTAGTAGTGGTAATCGAGAACAATCAAAAAGTCGATATTTTCTTGATAGTGCGGATAATATTTCATTTTTTATGGAAGAAGATGCTATTGATCCAAATACAAGTCAGATATTTTTAGAAATCAAACATATTCTTTACGTGTTTTGGTTTTAATAGGAAAACTTAATCGAGATAAACATCACAGCGTTAATAAAATTGGACACGCTCTTCATATACTCGACCCACAATTCAAACGAGTTTCATTTTCTGATAAAATCAAAGTAAAGAAAAACAAAATTTAACTAATCAAATCTGCTACATTTTTATATAGTCAGTCGCACGTGATTTAAATTTTATTAAACCAGCTATATGTCAATCAATGTATATTTGTAAACAACCAGAAATTGGAGCAAAAGGTTAACATTTTTTCTTTTTTATAAATTTTTATCTTCCTATTTACAATTAATTTTCTAGTTAATCCTCATCAGGATGGTACATATCTTTTTAATGAACCACTTAAAATTGCAGGCATATGGATTGCACTTGAAGATGCTACTATAGAAAATGGTTGTCTTTGGTTTATACCTGGTTCACAAACAAGTAAATTTCAATAATTATTATATATTATATTGGTTTTTTTTTCATTTCTATAGTACCTATTAAACGACGTTATGTTCGAAATCCTGATCAAGAAGAATTTAATGAAGGAAAAATATTATTGTATACTGGAAATGATGATCCATATGATGATAAAGATTTTGTTCCAGTTGAAGTAAAAGCAGGTAAAAATATCTTTCGAAAACTTTAAGCTTTATTTTTTTGTTTTTTAAATTGAAAATCTTTTATGTAATTCAGGTGATGCTATTGTTATTCATGGTCAAGTCGTACATAAAAGCGAACAAAGTATATAAAAAAAAATTCAATGATATTAATAATATAAAAATTTTTTAAATTGAATTCTTATTTTTATAATTTATTTTTCATTTAGATAAGTCACCAATCTCTAGACAAATCTATACTTTTCATATAGTTGAAACGAATAATTCAGAATATAGTAAAGAAAATTGGTAAATATCTTTTTATCGATTATCAAATTTTCAAAACTGAATAATTTGTATTTTTTTCTTCCTAGGCTTCAAACAAAAGATCCATTTCCATTAATTTACGATGCATAAAAAAAGAAAAAACATTTCTATTATTATTTTACACAAACCTTTATATTTATATTTAAAAAAAATTGTCGGTCTATTTTCTCTCCGAACAAAAAAAAAAGACTGACATGTGATCAAGATAGACTACACTATAAATAAAATCTAGCATAAAACGATATCACAAAGAAATAAACAGCATTGACATTCTTATTGACCTTCTTCTTGTTCATCATGTTGTGAAGAATGTTGAGTACGTCTTGAAGGTATTGAACCATTTTCACCTCTCATTGTTGATAAACGTTGTAATACTTCAGTTTGATCGAGAAATGGAAGTGTATCAGAACGTGCTCGTGCTTGACTTTCTGTATGTGGAGGATGATGAGATGTTCGTCGTTTAACTTCCGGTGGTTGTTGACTAGTTGTTGAATATAATGATGGTACAACTGAAGCGTGTGGAGCAAATGGATTTGTTCTTGGTTGTGTTTCATAATTTGGTGTTTTAGGTTGTGTTTCATAATTTGGTGTTTTAGGTTGTTGTAATTGTAGCTGTGGAGGTGGAGCTGGAGCTGGAGGTGGAGGTGGTTGACCTTCTTTTGGAATAACTAAATATTTATAAAGAGTTACACGTGGTGGTGTTCTCAATTTTTCAACTGCATTAGGAATAAATCGTTTTTCACAGCATAATTGAAATAAATCATGAATAATTCTAGTAGAAACTAATTCACTAAGAAAAGCAAAGAAATTCACATAAATTTATTATTATTTTGTTGTGATTTTTTGTTTTTTGAAAATATTCAATTTACCTTGCATTTGTACCAATAATACGTAAAATAAAATGTCCATCAGCTTCTAAATATTCATCATTAAAAAATTGAAATAATGTTCGACCTTTGCCTTCATAATACATAGGTGGAACAATAAACATTCGTGATTGATGATGAATTTTTCTTCCATCACGTAATATATATACTTCATCGCCTGTCGTAGATTCTGTTTCAACACGACTTTGTACTAGAACAAATATTAACAAATTTATAATCTGTATGTTTTCTATATTGTTGTTACTGTTTTTTTTTTCTACCTCTCATTAAATATTCATTATCTTGTTTGTTAATATGTTCAGCACATGAATCATTAAATGGCCATTTTTTTGTCAATTCATAATCCATTATTTTTAAACGTTCTTGAAGAAACAATTCTCGTCGAAAAAATAATCGATAGATCCATATACAAAGATCATAAATAGTTAAAATAATAATAAAAACAAACCAAAACCATAAAAATGTAAATATTTGCTAAAATAATATTCAAAAAAGAAAAATGAAACATTTTTATATTGAAAAAAATCCAAACAAAATGTTACTTGATTAAATAGATTAATTGGTAAAACACACATAACTGTATAAGTATGTGCAATCGGTAGAGCATTTGCTTCACGAATTGAAAAATCACTAAATACAAAAAACAAGAAGAAAAGAAAAACATAATTTCTATATCAAAATAAACAACAAAAAGATTTTTTCTTTTACCATAATGTTACTTTAGGAAAATATTGACTTGTAAAATCCCAACCTTTTCCTTCATATAATAGTCGAAGAACAGTAAAACCTAATGACCAAAATGGCTGACCCAATAGTAAAGATAAAAGTACTATTTGAACAGCAATATTTATAATATAAATAATTTTAATGAATAAAAATAAATTTCGTAAATAATCTCCCATATAACGGCCAGATGATGGAAAAAAGACGAGAAAACATTTTTTCCACCAAACTGTTTCACGATTATTTGGTTGTCGACGTGGATCATCAACATATTGATCAATAACTGAAATAATAAATTTCATTAAACGTTCAGATTGTTTTTCATCATTCGGTTTTTTAAAATTTGCTGCAGCTTCGACTATATCACGTATATCAATACCTTAATTATACATAAGAAAAATGTATATAACACATTATTATAAAATATATATATATATATCCTCGTGGCCAAAATAAACGGAACACCTTATTTTTTCGATTCTTTACTCCCAGCAATTTGATTCGGGCTCATATTTATAACACAGATAAATGTTTGATTACTCGACTTATCCTGAAAGTTTCAGCCTTATAGAGTGAAAACTTCCCGAGAAAATTAGAAATATATCTCATGTACTCATATCCTACTGAAACGAAATTTTTGTGTTTTATTTATTTTTCTGTCATTTTACATTCAATTTGAAATCTCAAGTGATGATTAGTTAACTTGTCTACTTGACTACAGAATGAAACATCTTTTGCGATCTTCATATGTCATACGGCTAGCTGTTAACGTATTTTCTTCATGAGTAATATGCTTGTTCCTGAGAACTTTGAAACCCATCGCAACACTTTTAACTGTCGTAAAATCGACCAAAATGGGGGTAATCCACCATGCTGAGTCTGTTGGCGATATTCATTTTCAGTTTCAAAGTAATCTATCAAGATTCTCGAAATCTCCGTTCTTTAAGAAAATACACGCTAAATGTTGCAATATGAAGAATCTTGACAGATTACTTTGAAACTGAAAACGAATATCACCAACAGACTCAGCATGGTGGATTACCCCCATTTTAGTCGATTTTACGACAGTTAAAAGTGTTGCGATGGGTTTCAAAGTTCTCAGGAACAAGCATATTACTCATGAAGAAAATACGTTAACAGCTAGCCGTATGACATATGAAGATCGCAAAAGATGTTTCATTCTGTAGTCAAGTAGACAAGTTAACTAATCATCACTTGAGATTTCAAATTGAATGTAAAATGACAGAAAAATAAATAAAACACAAAAATTTCGTTTCAGTAGGATATGAGTACATGAGATATATTTCTAATTTTCTCGGGAAGTTTTCACTCTATAAGGCTGAAACTTTCAGGATAAGTCGAGTAATCAAACATTTATCTGTGTTATAAATATGAGCCCGAATCAAATTGCTGGGAGTAAAGAATCGAAAAAATAAGGTGTTCCGTTTATTTTGGCCACGAGGATATATATATATATATATTTTACCTGATCGTTGACATAATACTCTCCATAAAACATAAGGTATAAAAAAAAGAAATGCTTGAAGAAGAAGTATAAATGGTATCCATTGATAATAACGTATAGATGATTGATGACGTATATCAGTATTATCAGGTATTTCCTTAGCATCATCAATATAATACGTATTACGTACCCAACATACCTATTAGACGCAAAACAAAAAAGATTAAAAATCAAATAAATTAAATATAATATTTAATATACATTATTTGTATAATCTTCATAATTTCCTGTAAAAAAAGCAGGAACCTAAAAAGGAAAAATAAAGTATTTAATTTTAAATTAATTATAATTATATTTCAACATACCCAACATTGAATACGTCGTGATGTAAATTCACGATTTGAAACAATTATAGTAAAAGCAATAAGTATAGCACATGTATATCGAGAGCTAAGACGATCACCTACTGAATCATCACTACGAGATGTACCAAGAAATAATTGTGAAAAATCTTGAGCAGCTCTTAATATCAATGCTGACATAATGGCAATAGAAGTAATCAATCAGGAGATATAATAAAATGTTGAAATTGATGGTTTATCGTAGATTTCTTTTTCGATCCTCTTATCTAAAATGATAGACAACGTAAATTGATAGTGAACAAATGTTTGATTGTGATTGATCCATTTAATATAGAAAAAAAAAACAAGTAACTAAATTGATCAGTTACTTATTTTAATGCCTCTCGTTGGACAAATATATGTCAGGCAGAAAACTGACATTTGCATATATTCGTCGACAATATACATTTGTGTAATTACCATAACGTTATACGTAAAAGTTATATGGACAGTTATGCGAACAAATCAAACTTTGTTCTTTTTCTCTGATAAAATTTGGATGGATGTATAGGCAAAAATTAATTATACAGCTTTTGACTTCATTCTTTTTGAAAGAGTCCATGTGTAATAATAATACTTATCAAATATACGGAGTGCAACAGCACACCTGTCCTGCTTTTTATTGTTATGAGAGTATACAAATATACTTGCATGCATATATATATATATATATATATATATATATATATATATTGACGACAAATAACATCTAGAACGGGGTAGGTGATGATTGCTGTTGACATTCATACATACCTGAGAACAAAAGAATGAAAAACAGTAAAAATTATTGTTACTTGTATATAAGAATTAAATAAAATCAGTCAAGTAGTTTTTCATTCGATTGTTGTTTTGATTCTGAACATCATATACCTACAAATATGATTGTGGTTTTTCCGTCAATGTCAAATTTTTCTTTTTCTTCCTTTTCTTTTTCTTGTTCTCTGACAACGGTTATGTATATACTGCTATTATTACTACTACTACTCATAGGACAATCTTTTTTTTTCTGATCGAGAAATTGGAGCAGTATGCATGCGGCGTTTGCATGTCTGTCTTTCTTTCTTTCTTCCTCCTCAGTAATAGAACATCACAGGGAAGAGAAATGCATGTGTATAGAAAAGAAAAAAAAGAAAGCTCTTGCCCTCTCCTTTTTTCTTCTTGATCCTAACACAATATCAAAAAAAAAAATATACAAGAGAGAAGAGAAAAAGAACCGTGAGTGATAGAACGAAAGAACTACCCATCCAATCTGCTATTGCAGAAGCAAGACAGCTTCTTAGACATCTTTCAATTCGAGAGATGTTCTGCTTTTTTTCTTCTTTACAAAGAAGACATCAATAATTATTGAGAAATCAAGGTTATAAATAACGATGAAAGAATTCAATGAAGTGTTCTATGCGGGAAATTGGTAGATTTGTAGCAGCTGCTCGAAACAGTAATGAATTGATACGTGACATCTTGTTAATATCTCACACATTTAGAGATAAATACGAAATATCCTAATATATTATTATGTCAGTTCTATGATATAATGATGTTAAAAAAATACAAGGAGAACGTAGAACAAAGTCTTTATCTTAGATTTTCTTATTAACATTCATAGGTTTCGTTATAAACAAAATCTAAAGTAATATTATTACAGTGATTTTGAAACCTTAATATAAAATAATGTTTACAATGAAAAATTGAATTTAATAGAAGAAACCAAATAATATTCTCATTAATATAAGAATGTTTTATTTTCTATTTAATTTGATCTTCATTAAATTTTATATTAGAATATTCTTGCTCGACAAATATCTATGGTTGTTTTTACGCTAGCTTATGAAAACTTTTTTCTTTTTTCTTTTTTTGTTGAATGATAACAATAGATCTTATTATATCAGATGTTTATTCAATCATTCGAACTGAAAATAATTCAATGAATAAAATTAAAGTCTTTCATTTACGTAATTATTTATTAAACAAAAGAATAGTATACTTTTTTTTTTCTATACATATAGATATTTTTATAGTTTCGTTTTATTCTTATACATACATTTGAGATTGCATAAAATAATTAATATATTGATGATGAACACCTCTCATGAAAAATCTCTCGATGATACAATACGACATCTAGAATTTTTATCTACTATTGTTTTTTAATTCAAACCAATAGAATGATTCGTTGTTACAGAAACAGTGAAAGTTTTATTTTCTTTCTTCTGCTTTTAGCTGTGTGTGTGCGTGTGTACTTACTGAAATATTAAAACAAAAATCTTTTCCGATCACACATCCAAAAAAGAAGTAAAATGGATGTTTCAGGTGGTGTTGCTCCTCCTGCTTCTGCTCCGCCAACATTGAATACAACATTTACTGGTCAAAATACAATTTATGTAAACAATCTTAATGAACGTAAATAACTTAAGATTATTATTTATTCAGAGTTATATATATATATATGTTTTTTTTAAGGTGTAAAAATTCATGAATTAAAAAAATGTCTTTATGCTATATTTTCTAAATTTGGTAAAATTCTTGATATAGTTGCATTAAAAAATTTACGTATGCGTGGTCAAGCATTTATTATATTTGATCAACCAGATAGTGCTGCAAATGCATTAACATCTATGCAATCATTTCCATTATATGATAAACCATTACGTATACAATTTGCTAAAACTGATAGTGATCTTATATCTAAACGTAAAAATACATTTGTTGAACGACCAAAACGTCGTGCTGATTCTGATTTACCATCAATATCAAAAAAAGAGAAACGTCGTCAACAAATAGCTGCTAAACAAGAACAACAACGTTTATTAAAAGCACAATTAGCAGCACAATTTCCTGGTTTACCAGCTGGAATGCCACCAATGATGCCTGGTATGCCACCAATGATGATTCCACCACCACCTATGATGAATCGTCCAGTTTTACATCCACCAATATTAGGTGGTGAAATGCCAAATAATATTTTATTTGTATCAAATATTCAAGATGCTAATGAAAGCATGTTAACAACATTATTTAAAGCATATAATGGTTTTCGTGAAGTTCGTCTTATTCCTGGTCGTGAAGGTATTGCATTTGTTGAATTTGATCTTGAACATCATGCAGCTATGGCTAAAGATGGTTTACAAGGTTTTAAAATTACACCAGACAAAGCAATGATGATTACATTTGCTAAAAAATAGGCTTTTTGTTTGTTTTGTTCTTCATTATTGTTATAAACAACCGGCAGGAAAAAATAAAAAAATAAATGTATAACTTTAGTCATGTTTTGTTTCTTTATTCTAGATGTCGAATACTACAGATAATGTTATGACGACAACAACAACATCATCGGTTGGAAATTCTATTCCACCTAATCATACACTTTATGTTAATAATTTAAATGGAAAAATTAAAAAACAACAATTAAGAAAATCACTTTATAATTTATTTGTTTCATATGGACGTGTTATTGGTATTATAGCTATGAAAGGTGTTAAAATGCGTGGGCAAGCATTTATTGTTTTTGATGATATTCAAAATTCTACAACAGCATTACGTTCATTACAAGGTTTAATGTTTTATGGTAAACCAATGCATTTATCATATGCTAAGCGTGATTCCGATGCAATACGTTTTTCAAAAGAACAAATTGCTGAAAAGACAGCTGCATTAGCTGCAACTAGTCAACCAGAACCAAAACAACGTAAAGAAAAACCTCGTATACCACCACCACCATCTCAACCACCACCGGATCGTGCACTTCATGAACAACATATAGGTAAGAATCTGAGATGTTAATGACTGGTTATTGTTCGAGATCGAACTCAGTCCGGTTCAAACGGTTAAATGATTGACTTCTTCGACCTACGGGTTAATATAAATTTTATTAGAGTGAATGTGACTGTGGGTTTGTGATTCAGTACGTCTAAGAGGAGTTCTACATCTTACATCCAAATCACATTTATATGTGTACATACTTCAACACAAGTAAGTAAATGAGTAGAACGAAAGAAATAGTGGAAGCAAGTAAATCAATGGAAAAATGAAGGACGAAAAGCAAAATTTGTAAACAGGTTGAATCTGTGAGTACACGTAAAACTGATGAAATCCGTACATGAACTATGATCGATATGATGATACGAAAAGAATTCTTATTCAAAATGATTTTCTTTTTTAGCATTGATGAATTCAGAAGAAGTCAATCGTACAGCTATTGCTATTGCAGCAGCTGAAGCTGAATTACAAGAATTACCATTACGTGATCGTACACGTCGAATTCAATCGGTTATTGCTGCACAAACAACATTAGTCGGTACTGCTGTACCAATGATGACAGAAGTACAAACGAATTCAACACTTTTTGCTACGAATTTACCTAATGAAACAACACGTGAAGCATTAGAAATGTTATTTCGTCAATTTTCTGGTTATTGTGATGTTCGACTTGTACCTGGACGTGAAGGAATTGCTTTTATTGATTTTGATAATGAAGGAGGTGCTGCTTCAGCTAAAGGTAACTTTATTCATTATTATATTAATTTCTATTGTATTCTTCTTCGAATTTTATAGATGCTCTCAATGGTTTTAAGATTTCGGCAACAAATGCAATGTCCGTTACGTTTGCCAAAAAATAACAAATGATATTTTCAGGATGATATGATTTCTTTTTTTTTTGTTTTATATATGAAGCTCTGATAGAACCGAAGTGTTGTTATTGTTGTTTTCGTGTTACTTTTTTAAAAATAAAAAAAAAGAACGAAAGATCGTTTTGAAAGAGCGCCTAAAACTGACATTGAACAGATACAGATACACAAAAAAATATTAGGTATATGATTTTTATAATTAGAGATAATATTTATATTTTAGATTATCTTATTAATTTACTTCATATTCAATGAATACGCTAGAAAGTCAAAATGATGGATATTCAGAAGAATTAGCTGTCAAAGCCTCTCGACTTAAGCATGTTTGTTACTATAGTAATTGAAAATCTCTTTTAACAATTTTTTTTCGTTAAAGATTGCATTTGATATTGAAAAAGAAACAAAAGAACACAATCGTTTTCTTCAATCAATGGTAAATTGAAATATAATCATATTAATAAATGGTATTCATTTATTTATTTTTTTTCATTATAGCATTTTGATTTTGAAACAGCACGTAGTTTTCTCGGCGGTAGTTCTCGTCATTTGACTTATGTAATGTCAAGTGGACGAGGCAATCGGCGTATAATGTGCTATGTTATTGGTGCAATTATTTTTGCTTTTCTTTTTCTTTATTATACTGTCAGTTCATTTCGAAATAAGTAATATAATATCTATATTTGTATATAAATATATAATGATTTTTCTTTTTATGAAATAATCTCTTTTATTAACAGAAAAATATCATTTTTTTTTTAAACATATTTGCTTAGTTAATGCTTTGTTATTCAAATAAAATAAAACTTATATTAGATATATATATATTTAATATTTCTGGGTTTTTAGATATGAATCTTTTACGTCGTCCTCTTCGTCCTCGTCTTCGACCACTATTACTTAGTGATATAACAGTAGATGGACAAAGTGAACCTTTATCACCACTTTCATCAGTATCAAGTTCTACAAGTAATTCAGCTCCATCATCACGACCATCAAGTCATACTCGATCACCACGTTATTTACCACCATTAGTTGAAGAAGCTAGTCATCATGTTAGTCTTGTAACACCATTTCAAAGTGAACAACCAACAATTGTTGATCATTTAACTGTAGCAATGAATGATGATGAAGAAAAAGACGACGATGATGATGATGATGATGATGATGATGATGATAATGATACTGAAAAAAAAAGAATTTCACGATTAAAAAAATCTAAAAAATTATTAAAACCACTTAAAACACGTGAATATTCACAATTTAGTGCATTACATCATGCAGTAACAACATCAAAAGTACGAACACTTAATCGAACACCAAAATTTAAAGGACCACCTGGTTTACCAGCTAGACGAACACGTTCATTTCATGATATTAAATTACGTTATACACAAATAACAGATGATGATACTTATACTACTGTTAATCAATTTACATTTAATGATTTTATTCTTCATTCATCAACATCCAAAAGACATCCATATGAAGAATGTGCATTAGAAAAAGCTATTTTATCGAAATATACTTATAAACAAATATGTGAAATGATTGCTGAACGTGTTTGGGCCGAACGTGGTGAAAGTGGAAAAGTAAATTAAATTTTAAAAAAATCATTTTTTTTTTTGCGAATCTAAATAATTTTATTATTTAGATTCATGTACAAACACTTGTACCTAATGTTGAACCATTTCAAAATCGAGTACCTATGCATCAAATTGTAACTGAAATGGCTCTTGTTCTCCGACAACATATGTCACAGATACTTGGTAATTTGATTTAAAAAAACAAAAAACAAAAATGAAAGAAAAATGTTGATGTTCTTTTTATTTAGGTTCAAAACTTAAAATGAATATCCGGGCATTACCAAGTTGGCGTCAAAAAGAAGGTGCTCATACAGAAATTCTTCTTTATGAAACTGAAGATAGAGAAGAATCACAAAATGATGCAAAAAATGTATCAAAAGAAAGTAATATTAGCATTAAAATAGAATTAAACATTTGTTGCTGTTGGTTTTTTTATAATATAGATTCACTTCATATTAAACGTGATACAGGCGCCGAAATTGCTGTTCTTGATAGTTTATTAAAAAATGGAAATCATTTAGATTTACGTGCTTTTACACTTGAATATTTACCGGATATTTCACTTATGTTTACAACATTACTTGCAATTGATCTATCCTATAATTGTTTACATGTAAGATTTAAAATAGGTAACAAAACAAAATCTTTAGTATTCTTTTTTTTTTGTCTTCATAGACTATACCAAACGAATTATTCGAATGTACGAAACTTGAACATCTCTATTTACGTCATAATCCAATCTCATCCATACCACTGGGAATGAATAATCTCAAAACACTTATTTTTCTTGATATGTCATTTTGTGAATTGCATGGCGCATTACCTGATAGGTATACAATTGTTATTCGAAAATAAATCAATAAAACAAAAACATTTTTTTGTTTTGGTTAAATAGTTTATTTGGTTTAATTAATCTTCGTCATTTGGATGTATCATATAATCGTTTAACGAATGTTCCAAGTGGAATATCAAATTTAAAGTATGTATCGGATGACTCATAAATAGTGAATCTTTCAATATTTCTGGTTTTTTTTTCTATTCAACTCTTAGAAATGATTGTGTTCCTAGAAGATTCCGAGTCAAATTCTCTACGAAGATTTTATTAGACTTATTTTTGTAGAAAGTTAAGGAGAGAAAACCAAATGAAGAATGTCGAACACATAGAAAAGGTCTAAGTTTTTTAAGTTATTTTATTTTAGAAACTTCAGAGTGTTTTAAACAATTCTATAAACAATGAAACAAAAGTAAAAAAATTTTTTTTGAGTATGTTGAAATATGATCGTGCTCATTGTGTAATCTTAAAGTTTGTTCAACTCCAACCAAATATCAAAAATATCGAATATTCCAAAAAACTCAGTTGAAAATGATTCGATCTGCCATTGCCTTAGTTTTTAGTCGATGGGATTTAAAACGAAAACCATTAGATAAATTTTCGCCACTGAATCTGATACACGAGTCATTTCACACTGAAATAAAAAAACTCCAGCTTCGCAGATACTATTTTGATTTAGTTATCCAATTTTGTCCAGAAACTCGGTTACTATAGATTGAAATAGCTAAGTTTCTTCGAAGCATCGTTAAGAGATCGACATCGATGCAAGTCTTTAAGATCGCTTTCGCATTTATTCTATTAATATTGATTGATAGAGTTTAACAAGAACTATAATAGGTGTATACCCACTCCTCTTTTTATCATTCAACTCAATGCAGGTATTCGGACAGAACGATTTTTTCAGTGTAAAAACATGGTCCATGCTTCTATTTGTTGAGTATTTTTTGTTGCAAACATTCTCTGAAACTTTCTATAAGAAATGAGTCGGATTAGATTTTCGTAGAAAATTTGACAGCGTCTCTATTAGAAAAACAATTAGGTTTAAGAATAAAATAGGAAAAAGTTCTAAGCAACATACTGAGAGGTTTATTATTTTTGAACAATTCAGCATATTATTTAAATATTTATCAATATTAGAAATC